GTACTCAACGAAGAAGGTACGCAGGGGAAATCGGAAGTCGTGGTCCAAAGCTCCTTGTGGACCATGAAGAAGCTTGGGGACATGAGGAAGGGAGACTACCTGCATCTGGCCTCACAATATCCACAATGAGACCGCCTAAACATCTGGCTTCATCCCAATCATGTCAGAGAGGGAGCAATGGTCCTCCAAAGGGCCATTGTCGGTCAACACGCCAACTTCGTCACCACCCTTTGTTTTCTTTCCACTTCTTCGCTTCTTAACAGCACGAAAAGGGGAAACGTCTAGCACAGAGCCGACATCTTCAATCTTCTCATTGATGCCAGCCTCCTTTAATGTTGAGGCATCATCATAGCCGAGGGGGAGATCACGGTTGACCTTCTCACCGATGCTAGCAGAGTCAGACTTGGAAACCATTTTCTCAAGAATCTGCAAAGACGCGCACAACATGTAAAATCAAATTTGGAGCAAGGAACTAAAATTTGACCACCAAACTAAAATAAAAGACCATAATCGACATCCTCTTGTCATTCCGAGTCCAGGGGTACCAGTGTCAACCGCAATTGGGAACTATAGCCTCCCGACGTAAAAAAAGAGCAATTCGACGAAAAAACCTTACTCCAGGTTTTCCGACGAACAAGCGACGGTTAAAAACGGAGATGAAGAAAATCGAGGTCTAACCTATTGAAGGGGAGAACGATGAAGACAAGGGACACCAAAAACTTTGGTCGGAACGGATTTGAGAGCTCTGTATTGCTTGAAAGTTCTGAAAGCTCGAAAACAAAAAAAAAAGCGCAAAGGAAAGAGACGAAGTTTCCCACCTTTTATACTTCCCTTAAAATTGAACGGGAAACTGACATGTGGCTGGCCAAGAGTTAACCGCATGAAAAAACTGAAGAGTTTTCTCAAAAAGGCATGCAAAAGTGTAACGATGGCGCCAAAAAGTCTTTTGAAAAGCCTAGTCTCGCATTAATGGCGAAAAATGGCAAATAATTTCCTATGTTGCAAAAGGAATATTTATAAATTCCTATTTGTACGCGTTAGTGTCACTACACATTATAGCATTTTCCAAATGCGAAAAATTCCTAAGTCCAACAAGTCTCAAAGACAACTACCTTGCCCCTTCAAGCTTGTACTCTTATACACTTAGAACTTCTCTCTGGGTATACAAGAGTGGGGGACTGGTAAGTGAGGGACTCGGGTAAAATACAAAAATATAGGTCATCAACACCACAGCTCAGAAAACGACAACAACCATGCCAGCGCCATTCAACAGGTATAAATTGCACGCCGAGCTCGTCATATATACGTATTACTTTAAATTTTGAGATTTATTGAAAATTTTATGAACCCTCGATCAAGGCCGTGGATATAGCAACTAACTTGCAAAAATAGGAAAGTAGAACGGAAAAACGAGAACAGTCGAGCTCGAGCCCATACTTAGTTGCAGCGGGGCGTCACTTTCTTTTCCAGAAGTCACTTCAAAGTGGAGTGTACTCTTTTTCCTCCGTTAGGATTTTTTTCCTACAGGGTTTTTTCCTCAACAGAGTTTTTAATGAGGCACCCCTTTGTTGTGACCATGGAGATAAGTGCCCCTACAAGGCGTGCCAGCCCAGAAGATTGAAGATTTACTCTTCCTCACCTCAAGTGTCACTTTCGCTTCAGAGAGTGGGGCACTCATGATGGAGTATATTCCCATATACCCGAGGGGTATCACAATCAACGGACAAAAGGCTTCCCAGACATCTCAAAACACCTAAGTACCGAAATTCCATCTGAGGCTCACATCGAGGATCGAGGTCAGGAAAAGATACGAGGCAGTGAATCAACAAGGCCCAGAAATTCAGCTGAGACTGGCCTCGATCTCCGAGGTCAGAGCTTGGAATCACCCAGATAAGGCAAGATATGAGGCCGACCTCGGGCACATCGAGGTCAGCGCCAACTCTGACCTGTGGCACTGATACAAGGTCAACTGGAATCAAATAAAGTCAACGCGAGAATCACTACTACCAGACAAAACTGAAGACCATAGACATATCCTCCAGTAACGAGCTCGAGCCTCCCGAGTTCTGACCTCCGGGAGCTCGGGGTCTCACCAGCATCATATGGACTTAGGCATTTCACGAAATCAAGTGTCGCACAAGCTATCGCCACGTCACCAACACTGTACGAAGCGCTATGTTATCCCAAGCAGATAAAATGAAGAATATTCTGGATAATACACATGTAACCTACACATATATGCTCGTGAAAATCTGTTATGCACAGTTCTAATCAGCCAATTATCCCAGTTATCTCTTCAATCACCTTTACACGTGTCAACACCCTATTAGATTAGTCTGATTATTCTGTTAGGCAGGTGTGACACGTGTCCTCACCATAAATGTCCTCACCACATTTATACCTTTTTAGTATAAATGTCACCTCCCAACATGAGGAAAGGGATCCAATTTGAAAGTCTCTTGTTGTTACTCTGTTGAATCGAATACTCGAATATACTTAGCAATCTCCTCGTTCATTCTCCAATAATTTCCCGGATTCTTGCTACCCTCAGGGTCGGCAATCCATCAACTGGGGTAACCCTAACCCATTTATACCTCCAACGCTTAAAGGAATCCGGGTAAGATTTGGCCGTAAACAAATGATGACCCGCCCGTTGGGAGATAGAGAAATAACCTTGGGCACCAGAGGCGTCAGACCTTACAGAGTGAAAGAAATTGAGGAATATGTCGAGGTAGGGTTTGATTTTCAAAGAAATACACGGGCAATAAAACTGGCGATGAACAAGTGGGTGGTGGGAGAAAGCTGACCCGGAATTACACCATAGTGGTGCATGATATCTTGAAGGGCAAGATGGAGGGGGGATAGTAACCCGACTTGTAGACTCGTCAGGTGAACCCCAAAATGGGAAACGAATGGGGGCTCCACTATACTTTGACCACGGGTAGGGCGAGAACAGATAATACTAGGGCCGACAAGGGCCACCGCCTCATTAAATTCAGAATCAGAAAGGGCGGCGGCTGGAACCCCCCGGGCGAAGTCAGCAGAATGGTAGAAATGGGTCTCAACCCCATGAGAATCTACTGGAATTTGGGGTGGATTTGAATTGGCCGCGTCATCAAGGAAGACATTATGAAAGGGAACAAAACTAGAGGAAGACATGGAACTGACCTGATGAGAAAAGCTGAGACGACGAAGGAGGGTCTTGTCGCCTAGGGTTCCCAACCAAGAAAATGATAAGCTCGTGCGAGGGAAATTTTGCAGAAGTTTTTCTATTGAAGGAATCTGTGCGCTTAAATAGCCGGATATGATGGCACTTCCCAAAAACTGCTTGGAAACTGCTACTCAAGCACTTGAGTACTGAAGTTGGTAGGGCGGGTTGGAAGTTGTGCTGGGCTACAGGCACATGTCACATTGAGGCCACATTTAATGCTAAGCGGCGCTACGAATTATGAAAGATTCAAAATTCAAAAGAAGATGACTCGTTACTCTCCTAAATCAAGCTTGACTTATTTTAGAGAGTAGGGGGCTCGTGATGGTACAATGGATCACAGTTATGGCCAAAGATTGAATTAAAGCAAAGCCCATCAACGAGATCAGTCCATTAATCGAGATTAATAATAAATAATAGCCGCCGGGCCTAATTAGGAATCCAAGCGGTAGGAGATAACAGGAGAAACGTGGACCTGAGGAAACAATGATTGCACAACGTTCGAGACGTTACCGGACATTTATTATAATTAATTACATTAAATGTATCAGTTTACTCCTGGAATACTAGAACCTAAGGTCTATAAATACATCATGTACACATCCTACCAATATTCTGAATCCGGAAATAATAATATTGCCTTACGCTGCCTAAATTTCATTTGCTCTCGTAGATTGGCTCTCATAGTTGGAATTAAAAGTTGATAGTAGTATTGAAAATTTTGCTTCTAAAAATGATCAAATAAATTGTTCTATGACTTATGTAATAAGGTGACAACTTCGACACTCATTCAATCGGGGAGACTGTCAACTCCGGTAAAACAAATCAGCTAGAAATTCAATCGGGGAGACTGTCATATGATTTTTGAAAGATAATTGCGCCAGAATATACATATAAAACGCAGTTAACTTCCAAAAATTAGTTGACGATCTTCCCGATTGAACTTTTAGCTGAATTTTTTCTTGGATAAACTAGATTCGATGAAGAACATGTCATAGAAATTTCATCAAAAAAGTCGACCAGGAAGACACTGAAACGCCACCGTGCGAACGGCGGTTCTAGTCCGGAAATCCGGACCTGAATATTTCTCTAATTTGTATATATATACTATTTAAATTTTTAAAAAAATGGGTCTGCTATTTTTGGAGGCCCTCTGTAGTAGCCCAGCTTGCACAGCCTCATCTACGGCCCTGCTCCTTCCTCGATTCTAACCCTTGGTTTGTGCTTCCATGCAAATGAAAATCCTAACTAGCGAGATATTTTTGACTTGTGAGAGGGGAGGTGTATATTTAATGTAATTATCATCCTTAGAAGGACTTCTATGAAATTTTAGTTTTTATTAAGAAAATGCCTGAGCTTGAATAACGAGCCAATGGACAATTGCCGGGTGTGAAATGCACCTAAACGTTCCATAAATTTGATGCACCCTAAAATTTTCAAGTATGTAATTAGGTGCCTATTTTTTATAAAATTATAAATTGTCCAGATCGACATTCTATATATTCAATTCAAGTAAGTACTACCTTCGTTCCTATTAAAACTTCCAAATAGGTTTGGCACAGAGTTTAAGATAGTGGGTATTGTGTGGTGGAGAGTTGTGCAGATGAGAGAGAAATGTGTAAGAAATGTTGTGAATCACAAATTCTTTACTAAAAAGGGAAAGTGGAAGTTTTAATTGGAACGAACGAAAAGGAAAGTTGGAAGTTTATTTAGGAATGGAAGGAGTACAATATACTGAGTTGGTAAGACAGTAATAACAATGAAAAGGAAAGAAAACAGGTGTGCGACGTAAGCAGGGGTTAGATTATCACGAGGAGTGTGATCAGGAATATACGTGGGATTTGCTATATACACACCACCACCGTATAGAACAAGGAAAACGGGGGAGGGTCCAAAATAAGGAAGGCACGGAAGATTTGAGTGAGATTTGAAACATCAAACGCTGATCCACCGTTCTCTACCGGATATCTCGAAGCATACCCCATCGGCATTGTCCTCCGTTTCTCCCGCAGTCCTCCATCCCTCACTCCTTGTGTTTCAGATCTATCCATCCATCACTATTGCGCGTAAAGACAACTACTCTGGATCACATGGCCTCCTCCTCCTCTAATTACTTGACAAAGTGAAAGAGGTGTGCGCACCCCCTTCATTCAGGAAGCAAATCATCACTTGAACGAGTCTGTCTCTTCACCATTTCGCTCTATGTCTCCATCCCAGCATTGAATTGCTCCCATTTTGAGATCTGTCAGAGAATCGCCTTCCCCCACCTCTCTGTTATTTCTTTGCGTGTGTTTGCGGAGGGGCGGATCTTTCCCCACAATATAATATGGAATCCGATAAGAAATCTCCCGCCGTATCGGACGTGGGAGCATGGGCGATGAACGTATTCAGCTCCGTCGGAATCATCCTTGCCAACAAGCAGCTTATGTCCAACAATGGCTACTCTTTCAGCTTTGGTAACTCTCTCTCTCTGGAACTCTCACATCCCCTCCGCACAGATCTTAGCATCTTGTTCTTGTGATATCCTTTTTGTATGAATCGCTTGCTAAATTCGCCATTTTTTATTTTCCCCTTTTGTTAGATTTAGGTGACACTTTCTCTCTCCTTTGCACTTATAATCAAGTTTCAAATTTACTGCTTGGATGCGCGTCCTTTTGCAATTTTCCTGTTATTGACTCAACCCTTAAGTGTCATAAGGGTGTCATTTATTGTTCGATTTAGCTTTATATGATAGTATAATTGTTCATCTAGTTAACTTGAGATTAGTGGAGGAAGTGTAATAGAGAATCGCCCCCGTTTCTACCTAAAGCATCTATATTTCAGTTTTAAGCCAAGGGGTTAGTGATAAGGTCCCTCTTCAAAGCCAAAGAGATATGCTCGTACTAGCATAAGACAGGTGTTTTTTGGTAGTTTAGACTACCTATTTTTGATGTTTTTCATTGATGTAAATAGCCAAGTACATGAGCAAAAGAACGGAAAGGTGGAGTCATGGACTCCAAAAATGCAGGGAATGGGAAAGTGGAGAACGTTCTCCCTGAAGACCAGGAAGACTTGTTCTCTTATTTACAACTGAAACACAAATAATACTGAAACTTATTTTAAACAAGGTATTTTTTATTCTGCTTACGTGGCCTTGTGGACCGTCTTACTGCCACTTCATCACTCTCATACACCGCTGGCTGCTGCTCCTCATCAATACTCCCCTTCTCCAACAGAACCTTGTCCTCAAGGTTCACAGGAAACTGAGGGAAGCTGGCCAGGAGCTGGTCGTACTCCTCCCATGTAGCTTCTTCCATAGGTAAGTTCTCCCACTTAATTAACACCTCAATCACTTGTCGGGACCCTCGCTGAACTTGCCGAGTGCCGAGGACCTCTTCCGGTCGGATCAGTAATAACCCGTTCTCGCGTAGTGGTGGTAACTCTACTGTCACTGGTGCAGCATCCCCAACTCTTTTCTTTAGCAAGGAGACGTGGAAAACCGGGTGAATGCGTGAACCCTCGGGAAGCTTGAGTCGGTATGCTACCTTGCCAATGTGTTCCTCAACCCGAAAAGGTCCAAAATACCCGTTGGTTAGCTTCTGTGAAGAACGTTTGAAGACTGATTTTTGGCGGTATGGTTGCAAGCGGAGGAACACCCAGTCACCTACTTCAAATTCCTCGTCCCTGCGCTTACGATCTGTCAGTTGTTTCATACGGTTGTTGGAAGTCATGAGGTGTTTTTTAGTTCTTCCAACACTTGATCACGCTCTTGCAACTGAACATCGATTTCTTCTACCAAGGAGGACCCGATTTCATACCTGAGAATTGGAGGTGGTGGGCGGCCGTATAATGCTTCAAAAGGTGTCATCCCGGTCGACGCGTGGTACGTGGTATTGTACCAATATTCTTCCCAGGGCAGTAAATCACCCCATTGTGTGGGTCTGTGCTGGACAAAGGAGCGGAGGAATTGTTCGATACACCAGTTAATGACCTCCGTTTGCCCGTCGGTTTGTGGGTGGTATGCTGAAGACATCCGCAGTGTAGTTCCTGAAAGTTTCCATAGCTCTTTCCAGAAATGGCTCAGAAAGATGGGGTCACAATCGCTAAGAATGGACCATGGAATCCCATGAAAGCGAACAACGCAATCCACACACCGCTTAGCCACCAGAGATGCGGTATAAGGATGGGTTAGAGGAATGAGATGTGTTGACTTACTCAACCTGTCAACCACCATGAGAATTGTAGTATGATTGTTGGATCGAGGCAGCCCATCCACGAAGTCCATCGACACATCCTCCCAAACCTGATTTGGTATGGGCAATGGTTGTAGCAATCCAGCTGGCGACATTGTTTGAGCCTTCGCTCGTTGACAAGTGTCACACCTGGACACATATTCTGTGACAGTCTTGTGCATAGCCGGCCAATAAAACTGGCGAGATAATCTCTTCATTGTGCGTAGTATTCCAGAATGACCACCCAACGGGGTGTCATGATGTTCCCGGAGAAGCTGTGTAATGAACCTAGAGTTAGGAGGTATTACCACACGGTTGTTATAGCATACTAAACCATCCCGCCATGCATAAGGTTTCCCTGGTGCAGCCCTAGCTGCCTCTCCTGCCCGCACCAAATATGGATCGGTTTCTGCCAGTTTTCTCAATTCATCCCATATTGTTGCATGTTGTATGGATATAGAGTTGAGCACAGGGCTATCAGGGACGCGTGATAATGCATCTGCAGCAGCATTAGCTTTTCCCGGCCGGTATATGATCTCATAATCATACCCAACTAATTTTCCCATCCACTTCTATTGCTCTGGAGTGAGTATTCGCTGTTCGAGCAGGTACCGGAGGCTGCGCTGGTCGGTCTGAATGGTGAATCTGCGACCGAGGAGATATGGTCGCCATGTTCGTATGGCCACGATGATGGCCAGCATCTCACGAGCATATGTGGACCAATTCCTCTTCGCCACGCCCAACGTGCGGCTCATAAACGCTACTGGTTTATCATTCTGGGAGAGAATTGCGCCAATGCCTTCTCCTGACGCATCAGTTTGAATCACGAATGGTTGAGAGAAATCTGGAAGGGCTAGAGTCAGAGTTGTGGTCATGGCTTGCTTGAGTGCAGCGAACGCTTGTTCTGCTTCCTTGTCCCAGGTGAATTGCCCCCTACGCAGGCGGTTCGTCAAAGGTCTTGCTATGAGGCCATAATCTTTGACGAATTTACGGTAGTAACCCGTCAATCCCAAGAAACCTCGTAGCTCAGTGATGTTAGTTGGAGCTGGCCAATCCAACATAGCCTTGATCTTTGATTGATCCACCTTTACGCCTTTGATGGTGATGATGTGACCCAAATACTCCTGCTCCTGTTTACCAAAGGCACATTTCTTGAATTTGACAGACAACTGGTTATGCTGCAGGATTTGGAACACTTCCCGCACATGCATCAAGTGTGTCTCCCAATCGGGGCTGTAGATGAGGATGTCATCGAAGAATACTAACACTGATTTACGCAGCAATGGTCTAAAGATTGAGTTCATAAGTGCCTGAAACGTTGAGGGTGCGTTGCAGTCCAAAGGGCATTACCAAATACTCGTAATGCCCATTATGCGTTCTAAATGCAGTCTTAGCGATGTCTGGTGGATGCATTCGAACCTGATGATAACCTGCCGTAAGATCGAGTTTGGTGAAGTAAGCTGCCCCGTGTAGCTCGTCTAACATATCGTCCACCGTGGGAATTGGGAATCGATCTTTAATTGTCGCTGCATTTAGTGCCCGGTAATCAGTGCAAAACCTCCACGAACCATCCTTTTTCTTAACTAATAGCACCGGTGATGAAAAGGGGCTGGAACTTGGGCGAATGATTCCTGAGTTGAGCATATCCACCACTTGTTTCTCAATCTCTTCTTTCTGATAATGTGCGTAGCGGTAGGGCCGAACGTTGATAGGATCAGTGCCCTCCTTGAGTGTAATGTGATGCTCAATCTCGCGGCTAGGGGGGAGACCGTCTGGAATTTGAAATAGTGTCTCAAATTCCTGGATCAAGTCTCTCAGTTGCTCAGCTACTGGCATCAATGGTTCTTCTGCTTCAGCGAGACAGATCACATAAAGAGTATGTTCTCGACGAGCTTCCCTGATCATGTCATGTGCGTCCGTGACCTGAATCATTGCAGCTTTGAGTCCTCGGAACACATGAGTCCGGCATCCCCACTTAAATTGCAGCGTCTGAGCTTTCCAATCACAGGTCACCGGCCCTAAACCTTCCAGCCATTTAACTCCCATAACCAAGTCTAGAGCCACTAACGGAAGTGCGTGTAAGGTCATTGTGAAAGTAACCTCACCAATCCGTACCTTAACGTTGTCATACCTGCACTCACACCTCATTGGTTCACCATTGGCGACTCGTACCAGGAATGGTGTGGTAGGTGTCTGCTTTAACCGGAGTTGTTGTGCTGCCCTTATACTGATGAAATTGTGGGTTGAGCCGCTGTCCACAAGGGCAACCAGTTTGCGATTACTTATGCCTGCGCGAAGACGAAGAGTTGTAGGAGCATCCCAACCCGTCAAGGCATGTAGTGTGATCTCTGGTGATTGATCAGTTGCCGCTAACAGTTCATCTTCATGGTTGTCAGAATCTTGTTCGCTCTCCATGACAAATAGCTGTGGCTGCTTGCATTTGTGTCCCGGTGAAAACCATTTATCGCAACTAAAGCACAGTCCCAAGCTCTGCTTCTTTTTAAGCTCCTCCCAACTCAGCCATCGTGGACCCGATGTGCGTTTATCACCAAATGATGATTGAACATAATCTGGTGATGAGTTTCCAATTTGAGGAAGGGTTTGGAATTGTAAGACCGCTGCCCACCCCATTTTCTTTCTTTCTGTAACTGATCGTCTCTTAATCTGGCCAGGTTGATGATCTCCATCAGTGTCTTCGGTTTGAATATTCTAATCCCACTGGAAATAGAAGGGTGAAGTCCACCCATGTACGCCCCCACCAATGCCTTCTCTGACCATCCTTCAACCTTGTTCTGCAGCCTTTCAAATTCTCTTTGATACTCAATTAGCGTCCCTTTTTGGCAGATGTGGCAGAGCGCTTCGTCAAAGTCTTCACCGTCAATTGGGCCAAATCGCGTCCACAGCTCAGCCTCAAATGTTTCCCACGAGATCTGATGGGGGTCGAAACCTCGAGCTCTTGACTTCGCTTGCCACCACGCGTTGGCTTCCTCCGTCAAGTGATAAGAAGCAAAGCTAACCCTCTGATCTTGTGGCATCTCATGATAGGCGAAGTACTGCTTTGCCTTGCTCATCCATTCCTCCGGGTCTCCACCGCTGAATTTTGGGAATTCCAACTTCACCTGACGGGGATGTCCGTGTGGAGGATTTGTGGTATACACGTGACTTTCCCCATGCTCTTCCGTCCGACGATGTCCCCGTGCTGCGCTGGACCCACTTTAGCGGTTGGTCGCCATCAATTCCCTCATTTGGTTCACAACATCTTCTAGATTTCGGTTGAACAAAGTCTCCAAACTCCGGAATTGGTCTCCTATGCCGGTGTTTATTTTCTGAAGCTCATCTTGCACAGTTCCAAGACTCTCCTGCATCAACCCAAGGCTTGCCTCCAAGTCGTCGAGTCTCTCCTTGTTGTTCGGCATGGGCTCGTCTCCCTGGACAACTACCCTTGGCTTGTTTGGTTTCTGTGATTTTCGAGGTGGAATGTTGTGAATTGGGGTGAGTGATACTGAAGAATATTCTTGATGGGCGTTGATTCGTAGGGAATACCGCCAACAAGAACCAAACGGCTCTGATACCAAATTGATAAGGGCCCTCTTCAAAGCCAAAGAGATATGCTCGTACTAGCATAAGACAGGTGTTTTTTGGTAGTTTAGACTACCTATTTTTGATGTTTTTCATTGATATAAATAGCCAAGTACATGAGCAAAAGAACGGAAAGGTGGAGTCATGGACTCCAAAAATGTAGGGAATGGGAAAGTGGAGAACGTTCTCCCTGAAAGCCAGGAAGACTTGTTCTCTTATTTACAACTGAAACACAAATAATACTGAAACTTATTTTAAACAAGGTATTTTTTATTCTGCTTACGTGGCCTTGTGGACCGTCTTACTGCCACTTCATCACTCTCATACACCGCTGGCTGCTGCTCCTCATCAGTTAGCCTTCTTCCTTCCTTCTGACACCGAGAGACTTCTTATTTCCTTTACAATTAACCCAAGATTGATTTTGAGAATGGCATTTGGTTGGATCACTTCATTTCATCCAAGATGAGAATGCTCTTAATTACATGTGTAAATTTTTGCTGAACCGTGGACATTAGCATTCGCCAAAATGAAAGAGGATGGTTGTGATGGTGCAAACTAACCAGGATCTGGTTTACTAGTCTGGTTGGTCTAGGTTGAGACAAACTATAAGACTGGAATGTGAAGGGGATAGCGGACACCAGAAAACAAAATAGTCTAGGTGAGAACACCTCGCCCTTGCTATATATAATGGTCAGGTGCAGTTACACTTACAAATACCTGCCTAGCAGATATGGTCTGAGCAGTCAGGAGGGAGGGTGTCAGGGTGAGGGCTTGAGGCTTCCCCGTGATGCGAGCCATATGTCCTAGTGAGTATATGTCATCTGGTTGCAGCAAGACCAGAGCACAGATGATATTAGATTATCAGGAGTTACAAAACAAGTTCCAACTGACATACTATGCCACATAAGAAGAGAATGTATGTAATTGTAATTCTGACTATCAAAACAAAATCTTGCAAGTATGTAACTTTTTTTATCTCTCTAATCTTCTCCTCAGGTTACCAGTTCAGGAAAGTGGTGATAGTGTCTTTGTTGTATTGACACTAGGTGTTAGCAAGTGGTGTTAGTATCTTAGATATATGAATGGTGACTTGTAGGATTTTTGTGATTTAACATGCCTTGTTTCCCTTTAACGTTTTATAATGCGAGTAACAGTGTTATGTGCTATTTTTTCTCACTTTACCCAGCCACAACGTTAACTGGATTCCATTTTGCTGTGACGGCACTTGTTGGAATGATTTCAAATGCTACTGGGCTCTCTTCGTCAAAGCATATTCCTTTATGGGAGCTTATTTGGTTTTCAATAGTTGCTAATATGTCAATTACAGGCATGAACTTCAGTCTCATGCTTAACTCAGTTGGGTTTTATCAGGTATAATGTTTACCAACCCCTTGTGTTGTGTCATTGTCAGGGATTCAAGTGCTCAACATCAAGTCGAAACCTACCTTGAGTACACCACATTCGAGTGCATTTATATATAACCTAGACATCTAGTGTATTTGATAGAAAACCATTTGTTGAATTTTGAAGCTAAAACATATTGCTTTTGTTCTTAAATAATTGCAACATGTTGAATTTTACCACATTCACATGCTCTACTTTAATTAACAATGTATTAGATTTTTTTGAAAATATTGATGAATTCGCTTCATTTTATGTTTTCAAAATCTAACTTTTTAATTTTTACTAAGAGTTACTTAAATATATTAGTATTTGAAGTTGCGTGTTGACAAACGTGAATATGGAAGTGTTTCAACTAAAAAAGAATGGAGTAAGTAAATTTTATTGTTACTAACACACATTCGATTCTACTTTATCTTTTGCTCTGAGTTCTACCATACCTTTTGCATGGGATTTTACTTTACCCTTGCATGCAATGCTACTTTTGTATATAGGGAGGGAGAGAAACACACAACTCACTTTAGCTTGAAGTTAACACACACATGCAGTGCCTAGTTAGTCTAATCAGCACGTACACATGCAGTGTAAAATAAACCTCTTCTTTAGTGATTCAACATGGTATCTACTTCAATAGCCATAATATGTCATTATAGTATAGTTTACACACACACACACACACACACACACACACACACACATATATATATATATATATATATATATATATATAGAGTAGCGATCCTGTCAGGCCGGCCTGATAGGACTCGCCGTCCGGATGAGGGCATTTGGGGACCGTTCCGGTGGAATTTTTTGATGAATTTTTTTGAGCATGTTCATCATCAAATCTAGTTTATGCATACCAAATTTCAGCTAAAAATTCAATTGGGAAGGCAGTCAAATAAACTGTTGAAAAACACTGCGCTGTTTATATATATAAAGCACAGTTTTTGTAAAGAGTTTATTTAACTGCCTTCCCGGTTGAATTTTTAGCTGAATTTGGTATGAATAAACTAGACTTGATGTACATGCTCAAAAACTTTCATCAAAAAATTCCATCGGGAAGGGCCCCAAATGGCCTTGGCCTGACGCCGGTTCCCGTCAGGCCGGCCTGATATGATCATATATATATATATATTCCTTTATCTATATGTGTGTGTATTATAAATGCGTGTATGACTTTCAATCGAATTGTTCCATGCATCTAAAACGTGTTCACCTTTTTGGCATAGATTTCAAAATTAAGCATGATTCCAGTGGTGTGTGTTATGGAATGGATCATTCACAGTAAGCACTACACGAGGGAGATAAAAATGGCTGTTGTGGTGGTTGTTATTGGAGTGGGAGTTTGCACTGTGACTGATGTCAAAATTAATGCCAAAGGGTTTCTTTGTGCGTGTGTAGCAGTGCTTTCTACCTCATTGCAACAGATTGTAAGTAATTTTACATTCTACACGTTTTCAAAATTGATTCACAGCCAATACTAATAAGAATTATCCTTGCTCAATTCTGAACCTCCACCTTTTATCTTTCATCCTCTGAATTGATCATAGGAATTTGATCATTTCCTTTTTTGTAAATTTTGCAGTCCATAGGTTCCTTGCAAAAGAAGTACTCAATTGGATCTTTTGAATTATTGAGCAGAACAGCTCCTATTCAAGCTGCATCTCTCCTTGTATTTGGTCCTTTTGTTGACTATTTTCTTTCCGGAAATTTGATACTGGACTACAAGTATTCTTCTGGTGCAATTGTAAGTATTGATGTTGTTTTAAATAATTTTTCGGAAAAATTCCCGAAATAGGAGTACAAACGTTTTGGAATTTCAAAGTACGACTGCAATATTTTTATTCTCTAAATAGGAGGTAATTGCTACCAAGCTTGGAAAATATTGTCATGTATAAAGTCTGGTAATACCGAAACATGACAATAATTACTTCTATTCAGGGAATAAATACATGAAAGTCCCATTATGGATTTCACAAACGCTTTTACTCCTATTTAGGGCAATTTATTTAATTCATTGAACATCCTATGTGGTAATGTTGTTATTATATTGTATCCGACTATCCGATTCTCTAACATGGGTATGATTCGCCATATTCTTATCCAACATCCTATGTGGTAATTGGCAACCAATTTCTGGAAATTAGGTGAAAATATACATGAGTACATGCCTACAGAAAATATGATAATCATATGAGAATATGATAATTACTAATTGATGAGGATTTTTGCAGTTTTTTATACTGCTTTCATGCTCTCTTGCCGTGTTTTGCAACATCAGCCAATATCTGTGCATAGGGCGTTTCTCCGCAGTTTCCTTCCAGGTTTTAGGACACATGAAGACAGTTTGTGTCCTGACATTGGGGTGGCTGCTCTTTGATTCCGAGCTAACTATGAAGAATATCATGGGAATGCTGACAGCAGTTGTTGGAATGGTGATTTATAGTTGGGCAGTTGAGCTTGAGAAGGCCTCCAATGCAAAGATCACTCCCACCTCTAAACACAGTTTGACAGAAGAGGAACTTAGATTACTTAAGGAGGGAATGGAAAACGATCCCATCAAGGATAATGAACTTGGTGATTCCAAGGTGTGATGTCACTGTGAGGCTCAGGAAATGTAGAGGTTTCTTGCAGGGCCGTGTTTTCCTTTGATGTTTTTAGATTTTTTTTTTATTCTTACTGCCTCATAGTCCATCCGATTTGGGTGCCGATTCAGTATCTGTTTTTTGTTTTCGTTTTTACCATAAAATCTGTGTGAGTTTTTTTATATATAAAGAGGACTGACTGGTTGCTTACCTGTTAGAAATATGTCTATTGGTTTTTTATTTATAATAATAATTAATATTAGTAATCCTATTGTTTGTATATTAAGTACTGTATCTTTGTGATGCGCTATAGGGACAGACCTGCTGACGGTCCTGGACCAGAACAAGGACCGGCACTTTGCCGGCCGGTAGGGATGGATTCGGTTCGGGCCACCCGGCCTGGCCCGGTACTGTGCGGGCTCGGGACCGGCCTGGTCTGGTGGTCTGGCACCGGGTGTGGAACCGAACTGGTGGGGGAAGCGGGGGCGGGCTGTTCCTGCAAAAGGTGACCCGGCTTGGCCTGGTCGGGCCCGGGTCTGGGTCACAACGGCTCTTTTTTAATTTTTTTTTTATTTGGAAGAGGAAAACAAAAAAAAATATAATGGGCCCGGCCCGGCCCGGACCCGGTGGTTACCCGGGCCGGTCCCGGGTCCACCATTTCTGACCCGTCGGCCCGCCTAGGCCCGACCCGGCCCCGGCCCGGACCCGAGTCCATCCCTAGCTGCAGGGGGATCCGGGCGGTTTGGGGGGTGGGGCGTAAAAAAAACCTATAAATACTCTTAATCTTAAACATTTTTTCATCTCTTCTCCAACTCTTTCTAAATCCTACTCTTGACTCTCTACTCTGTAATTATCTTCAATCTTCTCAAATTCTCTTATTCTCCAATATATTATATTTATATATCTACTTTATATTAATTATCTACTTATAATTTATAAATAAATACATTATATTACTTATATTTCTTATCTAATTATATATTACTTGTACATTTATTATATCTATTAATTAATTTGGTATTATATCTAATTAATTTGAAGTCATTCCATTACTCCCATCTGAAAGACCGAAAGTCCGAAAGAGGTACGAAATCATTCTATTATTTACACTTGTTTAATTTTGTATTAACATTACTTGAAAAAAAAAACTAGTTAATTCTCATTATAGTTAAAGTTAAACTATAATAATTTGATTGTTAGTAAAAAAAATAGGTAGTACATAAAACTAGTTGATTAGTTAATTAGTTTTCACACGAATTGTATAATTTTTCATTAAAGTAGTTAATTACTTTATTACAATTTTTTATTAATTGCTACCTTTGACTCTAGTTTAAAAAACTAGTTAATTCTCATTATAGTTAAAGTTAAACTATATTAATTTGATTGTTAGTAAAAAAAAATAGGTAGTACACAAAACTAGTTAATTCACTAGTTAATGACTATTTATTAAACAATAGTATTGCTATAAATTCGATTATAGTTAATTCACTAGTTAACTAGTTAAACTCGAATTAATAGTTAGAATTTTATTTGATTAAAGTAAACTTTTTAGATTGAAGTATTGTTTAAAATAGTTTTAATTACTCTTATTAATATATTTGTTGCAATTTAATATTTGTTACATGTTTTAGATGGATCGTCCTAGATATTCGGTTGATATGGGTAACCTCGAGCGCAACCGAACGAAAGAGCTTGCGAGGAAGAGACTCCGCAAAGGTAAATCACATATCGTCTCAAACCAATTTATTCGTGAAGCTGTTAATCTCGTCGGTGCTTTTTCAAATTTTGAGAATGCTGATTATGTGAGTTATTTTGCTAGTTTTAGGAAGGAAAAGTTTTTAAAATATTATTCACATATTCCGCATATTTATGGTATTGCATTTGTTCTCGATCCTCGTTTTAGACTTGGTTCTTTAGAAGAATGTTCGAATTATTATTATGCTGCTTTTTTTGGTCTAATGCCAATGTATGAGGACAACCCAATTGATCCGAAAAAAGAATACAACGAGGTTAGTGATATATTTTATGCATTATTTAATGAGTTTAATGCACAATATGGCAACGCGCCCCCTCCCCCGACACAAACATCATCTAAAGGAAAATCAATTTTCAAATCTACATTTGCCAATCTTATTAAAAAAACGAAATCAACTCCCGCTACGCAACAAAGCACAATTAATGAGATTTCTTTGTATTTAACATATGTTGATTTTGAAGAAGATGATTTTGACGTACTAAACTGGTGGAAGGGAAAAGAAAGAATGTTCCCGGTTTTAGCAAAGATGGCTAAGCAAGTGCTATCAATGCCGGTTTCAACAGTTGCCGTGGAACAAGAATTTAGTTCGGCCGGCAATGTCCTAACGCAATGTAGAACGAGGTTGAGCGCAAAATCTCTTGAGATGCTTATATGCTACCACGATTGGTTGAAGGTGGCCCGTAGAGCTCAAGAAATTGACATCACCCCATCCCAACACTTTATGGATGAATCTACAACCGAGGGTGGCTCTACCTATTTCGGAGATTCCGATTGATTAATTTTACCTTCAATTCCTAATTTTACAAAATGTATTTCATATTGTATGTTTCTCTTAATTGTCAAATGTAGTTCCTATTTCATTTCAAATAAATGCACTTGAAGTTTGTTTTTAATACTTGTATAAAACTATAAAGTATAAATTATAAAAAAAATTGGATTTAACCGGCCCGGCCCGGCGGGTGGCCCAGGTGGGTGGTTCGGCCCGAACCGGGCCCGTCCAGACCTCGGGCCGGTCCCGGGTCCATAAGTTACAAACCGGCGGCCCGGCCGGTCCTAGGCCCAGCTCGGGCCCGGCCCGGCCTGAGTCCATGTCTACCGGCCGGGTTCCGGTCCCGATAGTAACTTTGACTTTTTTTTTTTATTTTTGTTTAAAGGGGTGTTGCAATGGCTAGAATGCCGTTGAGGGTGCGGTTTGGGTGGTCTCGGGGATGGGAGTTAAAAAACCTATAAATACCTCCAATAAAAAAAAATCTACATCTAATTTCTCCCAACTCTTATTCTCTAATTCTCTCTCATGTCTACTCTCAGGGGCGAAGTCAGGACACTGGGCCGGATTGGGCCGGTACAAAGAATATTTTTCGGAAAAAATTTACACTAAATTTTTTACCTTAAAAATTAAGCCATTTTGAAAATTTGGGGTGAGCCATGGTCTAGGTTGGCCCACCCCTAGCTCCGCCCATGTCTACTCTTATTCTATAATTTTCTCTATATCATAATTATATATATATATATATATATATATATATATATATATATATATATATATATATATATATATATATATATATATATATATATATATATATATATATATATATATAGGTTTTGGTTCAAATAAGAACATGATCTTAGGAGAGAAATGAGAACGAATCTTGACTGTTAGATTTGCTTTAAGTGAAATTCAATGTGCATCAGATGAAACTGTAATGTGCATTACGTGAAATTGAAAAGTGCAACACAAAGCGTATGATACAATGTATTAAGTGAAGCTGAATTGTGCATTAGGTGAAATTGAAATGTGCACTAGGTGAAACTGAAATGTGCAGAATAAAAGGTACAATGTGATGTTATTTTTATACACCTAATGCACAATTGAGTTTATATTTTTATTTTACACATTTCAGTATCATATAATACACATTTCAGTTTCATCAAATGCACATTTCTGTTCCACATAATACAATCCAACGGTCCAGATTCGTTCTTATTTCTCTCCTGGGAGCCCTTCTTACCGGAACCTCTCTCTCTCTCTCTCTCTATCTATATAGAAAAGATCATGTGAGAAGTCACCATTAGGCTGAGAAGTCTAACTTATAAGCTCAAAACACGAACTTTTAACCAATAAATCATAACTTATAGACCCCCTCCAAAAAATTACGTAAATGCCACCGCGTCAAATTAACTCCAGAAACCTGATTTTTTTTTTTGCAGAAAGTTCGTGTTTTTTGCTTATAAGTTAGACTTCTCAGCTTCTCAGCTGATCCGCTCCCTATATATATATATATATACATATATATATATACATATATATACATACATATATATACATATATATACATATATATATATACATATATATACATATATATACACACATATATATATATATATACATATATATATATATACATATATATATATATTTTTTGGATCAAATAAAAACCACACCTAACGTGAAAACTAAAAACCGTTCACTTTTCCCCCAGTGTGATGCACTTTAAGGGTGATCTGTTGCACTTTTTAAACTTCGGTCGAACCATGCTAAATTCAAAAAAATGCGGTGGCATTTTCGTAAATAAGTCAAAGTTTTTTGACAATTCAAAAAAGTGCAACATAAAAATCTAATAGTGCACGGTTTGCAGTTTTCACAGGAGGAATGGTTTTTATTTGATCCGCACCATATATATATATATATATATATATATATATGGTGCGGATCAAATAAAAACCATTATGTGATCTTAGGAGAAAAATGAGAATGAATTTGGACCGTTAGATTTGCTTTAAGTGAAATTCAATATGCAATAGATGAAACTGTAATGTTTATTAGGTGAAATTGAATTGTGCAGCATAAATGATACGATACAGTGACATTATGTGAAGTTGAATTGTGCATTATGTGAAGTTGAATTGTGCACTAGGTGAAATTGAAATGTGCTAAAATAAAAGGTATGATGTGATGTTATTTTTGTAACTTTTATTTCGCACATTTCAATTTCACCTAATGCACACTTGAGTTTAAATTTTTATTCTGCACATTTCAATATCATCTGATGCACATTTCAGTTTCACTAAATGCACAATCCAGATCCACATAATACAATCCAACGGTCCAGATTCGTTCTCATTTCTCTCCTGGGAGTCCGGCGATCCGTTCTTACCGGAACCGCTCCCTATATATATATATATATATATATATGTGTGTGTGTGTGTGTGTGTGTGTGTGTGTGTGTATGTATGTGTGTGTATATATATATATATAGGGTCGGGTTCTAATGAGAAGAAATCTTAACGTGAGAAGTGAGAAGTTACACATTTACCATTCCTGATGCACTTTTTTGCTAATATGATGCACTTTTTGTGATGTCAGAAAAAGTTCCGATTAATTACGGAAACGCCACCGCGTCTAGCATCACTTTTTAAATATTTTTTGCACTTTCCCGTGCACTTTTTTGCTAATCCGATGCACAGATCTTAAAATGAACGCACCAGATGCTTTCTCACTTCTTACGATAAGCACTCTTCTCATT